GTGTTGAATTTTATAAGTTCTTATAAATTTGGATATTTTGCCCTTATCGGATGTATCTGTGAATATGTTCTATTTAGTGGGTTGTCTTTTCATTTTATTGATGGTTTTCTTTGCCAAGCAAGAACTTATTAGTTTGACATAGTCCCACTTGTTTATTTATTTTTTTATTTCCCTTGCCCGAGGATATATATCAGAAAAAAATATTGCTATGTGAAATATTGCATTTTCTTCAATGATTTTTATGGTTTTGAGTCTAACATTTAAGTCTTTAATCCATGTTGAATTTATTCTTATATATGACATAAGAAGTCTCTCTTTTTGTTTTTTACGTATTTGTCAATTTTTTCCAACCATTTATGTTTTAAATATTTTAAACTTTGAGAATTTCTAGAGTAGTTTTATTCTCCTAATATTGAAAGAAAACTTTGGTGCATAAAAGTAATCTAATTTTTTTTTTTTCCCTGAGCTGGAAATTAGTGCACTTCACTGTTTTTGAGTTTCCAAAGTTTTAATTCTAAAAAAAATATTTAGTCCTTAATGATATTACCTTTAAAAACCTGAAGAGATAATTAAAGTTTGAAAATGTAGACATTGTCTGTTACTAGTTCTTTTAAAGAAAGTGATGTTTGGTGGCAATTTGTACTGTATCTTTCCTCAGACATTTGCCCAAACTTGCGATGACTAAGCATTGGCAGTAAATCCAATTTTTTTTTTCACTTTAAAGTTTTCAAGATTTTTTCCCCCCTACACAAATATTTGATCTTTAATATGATTTAACTTTTATGTGGATTCTAATGAACAAAATAAACAAACAATATAGAAACAAACTCATACAGAAAACAAAATGACAGCTGTCAGAGGGGAGGGGCATTGGGGAGCTAGGTGAAAGAGATGAAGGGATTAAGCAAAAAAACCCAAAGCACTCACACACACAAAACCTTGTAAACACAGACAACAGTATAATGATTACCAGAGAGAAATGAGGGTGGGGAGAGGTAGAAGAGGATAAAGGGGGAATAAATAGTGATGGAAGGAGAACTTGACTTTTTGTGGTGAACACACAATACAATATACAGATGATATAATATACAGTTGCACACTTGAAACCTCTATCATTTCATTAACCAACTAGAGACATGGTGCACAAAATTCATGCAAGAGTAGGCTTTCCTTCCTCTGGCTGCCAGCCTAGTTTCCCTTCAGCTACTGGCAAGCACCTAGGACCCGGGCTTCCCTTGCAGCCTGGCTTCATTTGGAAGATCATCCAGAAGGATGTCAGGTCTAATTAGCATATTATGCTTTTATTGTTATCGGTAAGTCAATAAAAAATAAGTATAATAAATAAAAATAAAAATGCTTTTCTTACACATTCCATTGAAGCTCATTTTACTCTCCAAACAGAGAGGCTATTATTCATGCTCTATATATGGGCAAAATAGCCTCAGAAAGGGTTCCCATACCTGTTTGTGTATTCATCAATCTCAGTTTCCACTCCATGGGATAAGAAGCACAGTATTTTATCTTAAAATATTTAGAAAAAGAAGGAAAGGAAATGTTGAGAGGACAGAGAAATAGTTGGAGCTGAGAAATTTGACCATTAAAGGAACTGGGCATTGGTATAGCATCTACTATATACTAGGCACTCTGCAGGCTCCTTCCCTATGTCCCTGCAGTGCATTCTGTTGAATACCTATGATAAGCCTTTGGGGTAGGTATTATTCCTGCTTTCTAGATGTTAAAATGAAGACTCAGAGAACTTAAGTGGTGGTATTGAGATTTGTGGTATTGAGGGGAGTGCACTGAACTGGCTTCAAGTTCATGTTCACATCCTAGTACTCTCTGCTGCATGCTTGGTCTTCATAACCAACTTATCCTGCATTCATCTGAGGTTTGATTCTTCTGTGAAGTGTTTGTTCCTGCAGCATAATTTTAATACATAGAAATGGATCATAAACATAGGCTTAGCTTAATGCTCTTTGAAAAAGTGAGTGTTTTTTTTTTTTAAATCACTACCTTCAGATAAGATCTCAAAATAGCACATAATAAAAATCATGAAACTTTCATTCCTACCATTAAAATGAGTGTGGTGTTGATTTTATTGAGGTGAGGTGGTGATAGTGGCCATGAGGATATCAGAATTAACAATGCTGACTTACCCAAATGGCTATAGACCATCCCGGTTCCTCTTTGTTCTTCTAGGCCCCAAAGGTATGAAGAGATCAGAGGAGGCAGCCTATTCTGGCTTTGTATTTTGGGCCATTTATGTTGGAATATGTTCCTCTGAATGGTAGCCCTCCAGTTTGCCAGGCCATCCAGGTATTTGGGGTCTTAGTTATAACTGTTTCAAAACAAGAGCCATAGTTTCTCCAAGCCTACATTAAAAAAAAAATACGTCCAATGGAATTTGTTTATTTATATTTCCTAAATCAGAGGAGATTAGAAAACCATATAATTTAGCCCCCTTTCTGAAGACTGGTATTACAATGAGTTTTGAATGGCTCTAACTCATGTGACCATTTCTTATTTGACCACACTTCCAAACAAAGGCTATCATATTTATAGGAAGTTGATTCAATGATTGGTGTTAACAGTCAAGGTTAAAAAATCTATTTGCTGAGTTTTATTCTAGAGTATGATAAACACATTGAATGGACTTTATGGTATAGATTTGTATGGAAACACATTGGTGGCATAGAAAACATTCTTTTATGATTTGCCATGTGGACTCGAGATGTGTTCTAATATGGCCTTTATTTGCAATTGCCATCTTCAAAGGAGTTCTAATTTCACTTAGGGAGAAGGATAACAATATAATAAGGGCTCCTTCTCCTTTGGGGGTGCTCTCACTGATCTGAATCAGATACCCGCATTAACTTTAGGGGTTGATCCACAAAGCAAGATGCATTCCTTCTAATGAGATGCCAGATCACATTTATAGGCACGTGTATGGCTTCCTTGGACCTGAGCAGGGTGCCACATGCTGGCTGGGTTCCTGGTGGGTCCTGACTTTTCTTAACTTCCCTGGCGGTTGTAGCTGGATGTGCCTGGTGTTCTACTTTCCTTCCGAATGTGAAGCTGTGGTTCCCTTCTAATTTGTGGAGAGACTCCTAAATATCTAACTTATGTGACTGTTAGAAACAAACAAAAATATATATTTTTTTTCTGAACAGTCTTGCTCATTAAGAGAAAAATGTCTGGAATTAGACAACACTGACTTCAAATTTCGGGTCTCCCCTATACCAGAGTTTTGTCTTTAGAAAAGTTACTTAACGTGTCTAAGCTTCAGCAAGCTTATCCCCAGAATTGACATAATAATAGTGCCTGCTCTTACTGTCAGTGTAAGAATTAAATGAGATAATCCATATCACTACTCAGCACAGTCCTTGACACACAGCACATATCCAGCAAATGTTGGCTATCCTTCCTTTATAGCTATTATTTTTATTAGAGTTCAAAGAGCTGTGGACTATGAACATGAAAGATGCAGAGAAATCACTGTTTGAAAGTTGAAGGAGCATAGGGGGAATACCCTGCTTTATTTCCCATTCTTTGGACTTGTTTATTATAGTGGTAGGTTACCATGGAAACTTTCAGGATTAAGATGGCATTATTGAGTTAAGCATTCAATGAACATCTAGGGAAAGAAAAGCTCGAACATGTATGCATGCCTTATGTGGCTTTCGAGTGAAGGAGTTATTCGAGGGTGGAGTAGGGGGTGAACAGGGAATGGTGTTTGCTAACTTCCTTGTCTCAGGGAGTTTCCCAAATTCTCTGAGCGAATTATGATCAAGAGCTGACACTGTGCTCATCGCCCCGCGTTTGCCCTTCGCAGACCATTCCATAAAGTTGTCAGCAGTTACAGCCAGAATTTCAAAACGGGAAGCCGCTCTGTATGTAGCAGGGAGTGTGTCTTTCCAAAATAGATTCTGAAGTCAAAAAGAACTCAGAGTGTTTTCTGAGAAGGGTTGACCTCCTTTCATGCCACTTACTGTGAATTAAAGCTGTGAGGGAGGACTAGTTTGGGCATGTGGTACAGCACTGAGAGCCGCCGCTGCCAGAGAACAAGATTTGTGTTTCTAAGGAGATACAACAAAAAGGAGAATGCTTTAAGAGCCAGCGGCTGCCAGGGTGTAAAAGTATCTATGTTCCAAGAGGGAAATGGAAGTCGATTTAAGTAATTTTATACACACGTTACAGGGCGCCCTTCTGCGAGTGATTCTTAAATGCAAAAGCAAACAGTTGTGGCCACAAAGGGCTTAGTGCTTCTCAGCTGATTTCAGTTCTCACACTCAAACTGGATCAGATTGGTATTGACCTGCTCAGTGCATGTGATTTTAAGATGGTCTGACTCCCGCCTGTCATTTTGTTGGGTTGGATTAGGAACACGGGACAGAGGGTGACATATTCCAACAGAGGTTTCAGCAGCCACTTGACAACCTGCTCCGAATCAAGGGAAGAAACCCCCGGCTCTCCCAACTGGGGCAGCTTACAGAGTGTTCTACCTGTGTCTTCAATGCGGGTCTAGCCGGGGTGCACATGTTCAGTAATTAGCCTGGAAGCGTGCCCTGAAAGGGTGCGTCGGAGAAAGTGTCATCACAGGACAGCAATCACAGGGAGAGTGCAGCAAGGAAAAATTACAGTACAGCTATATTTACTTAACTGCCTCTGCAATAGGGTTTTATTTTCCACACTTAGAAAGGGAGCCACCTGTCTGAACTGCTGATGTCAGAGAGCTCCCTCGAGACCCAGGGCTGTGGGAGAGCACATGATACTGTATGTATTTGCTCTTACGTCCATATCTGGCCGAGATTGGGTTTCAGATTTGAGTCCTATTGTGCCGTTCATTGAGTGGTGACTTCCAAGTGCCCTCCCACGTCATTCTGCCCTTGTGAATTAAAAAGTAGCGTGTGTGAGCCCCCAGCCTGAGTAGTCCTTCCACTGGCATACATATACTTACCCTGCATTAAAATGAATGACCCGAGTCTTGGGGGTTCTCATCCATGGATCCCGTTTTGAAAGTGAGTATTAAGAGGCATGCTCTCTTCACCTAGAAGCCACCGGGCTGCTGGTTTTCTGGATTTTGTTAGATTTCTCATGATCAGGATTTTAAAAAATATATATGTGTCAGACTTGAAAGTGTTATAAAAAGAGTATGTGCCTTTTTTTCTTCTTCTTCTTTTTTTTTTTTTTCTAGTGGCATGGCAGTGTGGAGAAATTGTTATAGAGGAAATGGAATGATGAAATGCCTAATTTGGAAAAACTGGATATTATGACCATGCATTTTAAGGGACCTAGCATTATTATTATGATTACTTTAAGTAATTTTCAAGTTGTATAACCCACTGCTTTTGTTCTTTGTGCCCAGTGGACAATTAAGTCTTTGAAACATAGCTCTTGAAGGAAATGTGAGGGCCACTGCATCACACAACTCCAGAGGGCACTGTTTATGTCATAGCCAAGCCATTCCTGCTTGAACTATTCCGTTGACTATATGTTCAATCCCAGGAAATATGATGCTCTCAGCGTTATGCAAACACTTTAAAAAAATAGATGGATGAAAAAGGTGAAGGGGATTAAGAAGTACAAACTACCAGTGATATAATAAGTCACAGCATAGGAGATAGAGTCGATATCACAATAACTACGCATGGTGACAGATGGGTTATAGGCATTACTGTGGTGATCACTTAGGAGGGTATATAAATGTCTAATCTGTGTGCCTGAAATAATATCATATTGTATGACAACTATGATTTAAAAATAATTTGAAAAGAACACTAAAACCCAAGATGAAACAAATAATAGAATTGTTACTAACAATTGCAGGAAGCTTGTAGTGGAGTTGTTCATTGTTTTAATAGTGCTGTGCATCTGGATTTGAATTTCTTTACCAACTTGCAAATTATATGGTTGTTAGAAAAAAATAGGTGGAAAACAGAGCCTCTGAGAAGGTAAATTACCTTCTTGGGCCACGTCAAATCAATGTCCTATTAGGGATCAGAACTAGGGCTTGTAATTCCCAACCATCCCAGAGAATTGCACACCTGCAATTAAATTAGTATTTGTAGGGGTGTTTGGGATTTGTTTTTCTCGAACACTGAAAGTGGAGTAAATAGCATGGGCTAAGACCCCTTGGTTCATCTAATCTTTCCCCCAGGATTTTCCTCTGAACCATTAAAAGTGTTAGAATATATGATTGATATTAATTAGTTTTCTGCAAAGCACTGCACTCTTTTAACATGAACTGAACTAGAAATAAATATATTACCATGAATTAAGATTTTATTAGTTGCAAAAAAAGAATTGGATGAAGGCACCTATGTGAAATCCTAAGTACAGGCATCAAGTTGAATTAATGCCAGCACTGCCATGAGATTAATTTGAGCACTGAACAAGAAATATATACCATAACATAACTGTGTTTACTGAATCATTTTTGGCATCAAAAACTAAAGCTACATTATAGATGCAACAACAGGCCTTTCTCCCTTGGAAGAGAGAGGCGGGTGCGGGTGCATTTTGTAATTAAAGTGAATGTTACCCTCTGAAAAATGCCTCTGGTCTCCCAGAAGAAAACAGCCTTCCTGAGAACATTGCATCCCCGTATATATCTCAGACTTCACATACTCAGTGTTGCTCTGGCCTTCTGCATTCCATTAGGGTTTTATAATGGGATCAGCTCTATTTTCTACCCTCTTAATCTGGAGTACTGGGTAGACCTTCCTTTATAAATTTGCATCTCATTACTATGAATGTGTTTGGGAAAGTGTGGAAGGTGTTGAAAACATGTATGGGGTTGCCTTGGGGATGTTCTAGGAGGGATTCCTGATTATGTAGGGAGGATGGGTTAGACAGCTTTTAATACAGGGCTGCACAAGCTGAAAACAGTAGAGCTTCCACCAATCACTTTTCACGGACTGAGATGAAAGGGGTGCCCCTTAGAGTTGTGCGTTGCTCAGGCCCTGCACTGATACCCTTTTTTAAATTCTGAAATTTCCTGATTTTACAGTTGTTTTTTTGCATGTATGATATCACTCATTTGAGGGTAAGTATAAAACTTTAAACTAGCATTGTCACATTAGATGATTATGCATATCACCCACATAATTTAAATTTTCTGGTAGCCACATTTAGAAAAGGTATATTTAATTTAACAATATATTTCTCCCCCCAATGTATCCAATACATTATATCAACATGTAATTAGTATAAATCATTAATGTAGTATTTTAATTTGATTTTTCATACTAAGGATCTGAAGTCCTATGTCTATTTCACATTTATGGTGCTTCTCATTTTTGACTAGACACATTTCAAGTGCTTTGTAGTAACATGTGGTTAAGGACTGCCCTGTTGGTCAGGACAGTTTTCAAGTTGCATGCCAACTTGTCAGCATGTCATTGCACAGGAAAATTACTTGCTAATTTTTTTTTAATATCTGAGAAAATATAACATATCCTTTTTGTAATTTTGTCTGTTTAAAAAGGAATGTCACGATTAATCACAAATTTTCAAGAGGATTGTGACTACAAAGGCAATTCAGTTAATAGGCTACTGGTGGCCAAATGGACTTCATATTGAACTGTTTTGCTCCCGTGGCTTTGTTTTACATTCTTCCCCCATAGATATCATCATTTTAAAACATGATTGGACAACTTTGAGGTTCTTCTCTCATTTGCAAACTCACGGTATCTTGTCAGTTTTCATGCACCATATAGATGTCCTATTTCTTAACAGGGAAACTCTTGACCTTTGGCTCAAATAGCTTCTGTGGCCAGCATAATGGGATCAAGAACTGTTTTCTGCACTTGCTGATTCTGGTTCCTTTCGAGAAGGCCAGGTTAAGATCAGCACATGGCTGGATTTACTTCTCTTCAGGATATATGAGAAATCAATAGACACTTGGTATCAGGACACAGCTTAGGTGATTCTGTGTGTACTCATAGTCAGCTTAATGTAAGACTTCAAAGGAAAGTCTCCTATGCATTGTGTCTAGATCTTTTTTTTTTTTTAAGTGAGGAATCCAGGCAAAGAGCAAACTTATGCAATTAATCTTATGCAATTAATATTGCTTGATGTTAAATTGAGTTCTAAGTATTTGTATGTGAATAGTAGGTATCATTCTTGAGTACTTAATACATGCCAGCACGGGGCTCAGATATATTTTATTTAACCCTAATTCCAATAATGTAAAATAGATATTTATAGTGCTGTTTTTACAGATAAAGAATCTGAGGTCCAGATAGTTTAGGTAATTGTCTTTGGATCATAGAGATGACCTAAGTGTCAGATATGCATGGACTTGACCCCAAAGGCTGTGTCTCTGAGAAGGGGATCATGTTTTCAAACCAACTCAATGACACCCTTTAATAATGTATTTTTAACAAAGGACACAATACTACAGTTTTAGAGTTGGCAGTTTCCTTCATTTCATTAATTTAAGAAATACATCCACAAAACACCCAATCCTATCCCATCTTTGATAGAAGAGAAAATAGATCTAGAAAAAGGAAGTGGCTTTGTCTGACATCAAACAAACAAACCTGGACCATGGGTTCTTTGATTCCTGCTCTACTCCTGTTTGTCCATGTGGTTTAATGGCTTCTTTAAGAAGATAAGGTGAACATAAAGAAATTTTTTTTTAACAGAAAGCTTGCAAACATTAAAGTTTTATAATGTAGGGAAGTCTCCTTTATCTTTTCTATGCATTTTAGACTTTTGTTTATAGTATATGAATACTTAGAAGTACATATATTATAAGGGTTTAGCTCCATGAATTTTCACTAACTGAACATATCCTTGTAGAAAACACTGACAGCAGTAATTAACTTTATGGAATCCTTTCCCCAGACCATGCCCCATGCTCTCAGCCACTACCAAAGCCAACCTCAATCCTGACTTCCTAGTGTATAAATTCTGTACTTATTTATATAAAGAATAGAATAATAAGGTGTGGACTTCTGTTGGTATATCTGCCTTCTTTCACTTCACATTATTGGTGGAATTTATCCATATGTTGGTGTACAATGGAAGTATATTCATTTTCATTGATTTGACTATACTTTTAAAGTAGAAAGCCTCCACAACCATAGTATTGGAATTGTAATTAATGGGTTTATTGAACATTAATTATTATTTAAAAGACTTCCTCCCCTGAAAACATTATTAGCCATAGTTTCATTTGATACAGTCTAAATTTGCAGTGCAAGATACATCCTAGAAAACTACTCTTGGCCTGTGTTTTATTCGATATTCAGCATAGGGTAATATAACAGAGAAGACAAAGAGGGCACCATCTGAGAATACCCACAAGATAGCGCTGAGTTGGATTCACACTTAGTAGCATTGTATGGCTGTGCAAAAGGTTAGGTATGGCCTATTTTTAGGTGCACTATGTGGAAATAGATCTAAGATAGATGGTAGAAAGTTACAACTCAGGAACTGATAGAGATTTTTGTTTTTAAAAGAGGTAGCAAAGGAATCCTTTCTGGATCATCTCCTTGGGCCAATGTGAAACTTGGGATCTTCAAAGAATAATAGAATTTGGGGCCTGTTTAAAAGGGAAACTCTTAACAACTGCCTTTTGGAGGTTGTTTCTTAGGCACAGGAATGAAGTTTTATTGTGTTAGTTTTAGTGTTGCCTCTATCGCTGGTTGCAGGAACAAGTAAAGCTAACATCATGCTAGTGACTACTGCTTGACCAACCAGCATTGGAGGAAGGTCACTGGTGGTTTATCTAGGCTTTGTCCTTATGGAGGTTTATCATATACCTGGTCTTACTTTCCTTACATCTGTACTCCCTCTCCAAATTGCCTGTTAAGGAAATGTCACTGCTTGTGGCTCTTCATTCAGCCCAAAAGGTAAGTCTCCAAGCTGTGTGTATTAGATTGCTCTGAGGCATGGACCTGCCTCCTGCTCAACAGGGATGCAAGTACAAAGAAAGCAGCTGAATAGGAAAACTCTGTAACTCCCACTGATACATCTACTATTAATATCTATCCTGTGATATGCCTTTGGA